ATGAGACCAAAATTGAACTTTTTGGTCTACATGCAAAACACTATGTGTGGTGGAAACCTAACACTGCACATCAACCTGAACACACCATCCCCACTGTGAAACATGGTGGTGGCAGCATCATGTTGTGGGGATGCTTTTCTTCAGCAGGGACAGGGAAGCTGGTCAGAGTTGATGGAAAGATGGATGGAGCTAAATACAGGGCGATCCTGGAAGAAAACCTGTTAGAAGCTGCAAAAGACTTGGGACTGGGGCGAGGGTTCACCTTCCAGCAGGACAACGACATTTCTCAAGGCTTTTTATTTTTTTAACCCTCAGCAGAAGCAAAAGACCCCCTTCCACTTCACAATTATGTGATACTTTGTGTTGGTCTATCACATAAAATCTCAATAAAATACATTTAAGTTTGTGGTTGTAATATGACAAATGTAGAAAAATTCAAGGGGTATGAATACTTTTGCAAGGCACTGTATCTGTTCAGACTCATATACAGTGAAGACTTAATAAAAGATATTAAGTGCAGTTAATTTGAATAAATTCCCTCAATGTGTTCCTGAGATATCGCGCCCACAAAAATGTGACAGATGGACAACTTGAAAATATAATGTTTACAGTTACGGCTATTGCTGGGCTGAAGGCACAAAAAAAGGCAGAACTGAAAATTTAAGGGCAACTCACCAGTTTGGCCTGCTCAACCTGTTTATCTTGAGAACCCTCCTGTGAGGACTGCATGGTCGCTGTTTGAAAAAAGCCACCCATTTTGACTGTTGATATACCATTGGTTCCAGTCAGTTTGGACTGGGTAGTTGGATTCATATTAGAGCCAAGAGAACGGAGAGGACTTGCAGTATGGGGGGTTGTAATAGAATTGGGAGCAGAGAGGGGAGCAGGCGATACTGATGTCATGGATATTGAGTTGGTCATAATCCTCTGAACTGGCTGGTTTGACTCTGTACCTGGGCGAGCAAGTGCCACCGTCTATGAAGAAGGGAGAAAAATATATTCTTAATAAGACAATCTGCAGTATCAGCATTTAGTCACAACATACATAAAAAGTAGGAGTGTAACAGTACACAAAAATCACAGTTCTGTAGGTACCTCGGTTTTGAAGCCATGGTTCGGTTCATTTTGGTACAGTAAAGAAAAAATAGAAGTCATAAAGATACTTGCATTTATTATGACCTTTTGTAACCATCAAGGGTTGATATATTTAACTAAAATTTAAATGAAAAAAAAAAATTAAAAATAAAATAGAATACTGCTGCAAACTACGAAGAGCTTCTTTAACCAGAGAAAAGCAGTTTAAATCATGAAGGAAGCAATATTTGTATTATACTACAGTTTTTTTTTTCCCTTGCAGCAGTAATATACACGTTTGAGTGGTGCTGTTTCAACTGATTTAGCAAGTTTGAAGTGCTGACAACAAATATAAAAATCACCTCTGAATAAACATATTAAGTGACAGGCAGGAGCATCATAAACAATAAAGCCAGAAGCTTGGCTAGGTGTGTGTTCTCCCTTAATACATTTTTCATGTTTATTTGCTCCAGTCCACCACTTAATATGTTTGTGTGGGAAAGAGGATTTGAAAAAAAAAGTTCTGCAAGCAAAACAACCCTAGAAGTTCATTCGGTACACATATGCAACATAGCTAAAGTCCCTCACCAAATTGGTTTGGTACAAATACATGTACCTTTACACTGCTAATAAAAAGTATTTGTATATGGTTTCGCATGGACTGACCGCTTGCCCTGACTGTAGTATGGCCTGGGATTGTTGCTGCTGGGGCTGCAACTGGAGATGAAGACCTCGGCTGCTGCAGCTGGGACTGGAGCTGTGTGTGGGGGTTGACTGCAGCCAGGACAGGCCCGGTTGCCTGCACCTTCACATGTGTTTGGAGCTGACCACCAGTCTGAGCTGTACTCTCCACTAGCTGAGCCTGCTGAGCAAGTGTCATAGGCAGGCTTGCCATAGGGAGGACACCTGGGGGCAACCTGCCAGGCAGCTGGGGAGGAGGGGTGTGCAGGCTGGCTGCATTCTGCACTGGAGGTCCTTTGGATGGGTCGTATTGCTGCTGGTTTTGCTTCTGTCCTGCAATCTGGACCGCTTGAGGAGTAGGCGGCATCCCGCCTGTACAGACAGCAATCAAATTATAGGAAACACAAAGGGGTGGTATAGAAAGCAACACAAAGAAAGAGTAAAAATTAAGTTTTCAATTCTTTCATCTGAAGTCGTGTTTTATAAATATCTTTTTTGTTCTTCTACAGTAAAACAGTTTTAAATGCCATTAAGTGTTTGGTAGCTGTCCTTTAATATAGATTTGAGAGACCCTTTCAAACAATTATTAATTTAACCAATACATAATAAAACAGTACTTCAATTTTTTTTTAATGACTGGTTGAGCTTCAGCTATTAGAGCTCCTCAGAACCTTGCCTTACTGTATGACTCAAGAATAGTATACTACATCCTGATGATCAGAGCAGAAACTAATGAAACTCATATAGCAAAATGATTACAGAAGAAATGAAATCAATGTGAGAATCTACATGTCTCTCAAATAAAATACTACTTTGATTAATGCAAAACCAAAACATTGCATTTCAAATGCTGAGAGAATATGGTTAAAAACATCAAAAGTTATACATGCAATAAAGGTTTTTAGAGAGGAAAGAACAGAAATGTTACAAAGGAAAATGGAAAAAAAAAAAAAAAAACTTAAAAGAGACCGGGAGAAAGAATAAAAATACAGGGCAGACACTCACAAAAACACCATGTTTGGCATGCATGAAGCAATGTCATTCTAGCAGTAAACAAGGCATCTGGATGCCTCACATAGCAACAAAGCACAGAGATGAGCAAAAGGACACACGTGGGGTCTTGCAGACAGCAGGCCTGAGCAGAGCTGTGCACGCTAAAGCAGCACCTGCCTTACCTCCCTGCACGTCACACCACCTTGCCTAGACGCCATCAACACCTGGCCCTGACACAACCACACCACAATCGCAAAAACCCGTGCCGTGAACACAACTCCTCCACATGACTCCCCTCCTACTCAGACTGAGGGAAAGAAGCCAAGTCAGAACAAAATGCCATGAAATAACATGGAAGAAATTTAACTAAATGTGAACATGAGGTAAATAGAAACTTTTGAATATGTAACGTATGAGGACTGATGATTTTACATCCTTGTTGATGATGCAAGGACAGACAATCGAAGAGGAAAAGACTTTTGAAGGAATGACAATGGGAAATCAAAAGATAGCATGACACATGGATTCATAAAATGGGAAAGCAAGCAACCCATTTGAAAGTGAATTTATTCATACAGGATTCCCATTTTCTGTGATCCACCTCCAAATTAGATGAAAATCCATCAGCACGGAAAGCTCTGTCCAAATAAAGACAACTAACAAGAACAAACTACGGAAAAGAAGAAATGGATAACGATGGATGATCAAGTAAAAAAAAAAAAAAAAAAAAAAAAAAAAAAAAAAGAATCAAAAGACATCACATCTTCCCATTGAGTGGCTACTCTTCTTCAGACTTCCTCAGACTTTGTCTTCTTCCTCATTTTTCCTGACAAAGAGAGCTGGTGCTGGTACAGCTAAGACTGAACTTCCTGTGGCATGCTGAGAAATCCAGCAGATGGATGAAGATCTGTTTGTTGATGCTGCTTGAAGTTTGTTTGTAGAAGATGAATATTGTGACTCACTTTTCTTTTTTTTTTTAAATCTCCTTAGTTTGAGGAACGGGATATGTCCAGCAGCATCGAACAGAACATAGAACGTCCTGGTAGTAGCACTCCTACCTTGCGCAGTTGGCATAAGCTGCTGGAGCGGAACACCAGGTGATCCTAAAGGAGCTACACCAGGATGCTGGAAAATCAGCCCATGGCGACCAACGTCAATCCGGGACCGCTTAGCCTGATCTGGGATTTAAAACACACAATACCCTCATAACGCAAAAAAAGCACTCGGCACAGAGGAATGACCTTCTGAAGACCTCACAGGTCACCTCTCCTTCCTCGGTTTAAGACTGCAACACAGAGTGCTAGTAGAGGATGCCAAATATCTAAAAGCAGAAGCAATTAGAGGGAGAAAAAAACACAAACAGAAAACAAAGCAAACGGGGAGGATACAAAGCAGCATAAGAAAAGACAGAAGCCTATAATTCTTGCTCTACCTGCTTGCATAGCCTGCTGCCTTTTAAAGGCATCCATATCTCCAGGGTTTGTAATATTGCCAGCTGCAGCTCCTTGATGTCCCTGTGAAAACAACCTCTCAAAGAATTAGAGGGACTTTGTCAAAAGATTCTTGATGAGCTATAAATAATCTCACTGTAATTTGTACTTAATACAAGTGTTTCCTCTATTACCTGAAACTGCTGCTGGGCAGAGAAAGCTGCAGAAACATTGGGAGGAAGCTGAGTTGCTATGGCAACTGGTGTCACTGCTTGGCCATCCTTTCCAGTAACAACTTTTACCTGAAAAGCAAAACAAACAAAAAAAAAAAAAACAGTTGTGACAGAGGCACAATATTCATTGGACGAAATGAATGTAGTTCTCTAAAATTCATATTGGATCTCACACTGTCATCAAATATACCTCATCATTAATGACCTCAGACTGTTCTTCTTCTTCTTCCTCATCTTCAAGGTCCAAGTCATTCTGTCTCAAGTAAGTATACAAGGGAACACAGGGCTTCTTCTTAAAAGCTAGGTAATCCATCATGTTCCCTTGGAGGTGCTGCAGAAAAAAAAGCTCGATCAGATATTCCTTGAATACTTCCTTCAGGCTCTCCATCTTCTTTGTGTGGTGCTCCAGGCACTGTTTTCTGAGTTGGGCAATCTCTGGAGTAGATGGAGCAATTTCCTCTAACTTCTTGGGAACTTGCTTCTTCATAGAGCCCACAGCCATACTGGTGGGTGCAAGAGGATTGTTGGGGATCCCCTGGGGTGGACTGGTAAGGGATGGACTAGACGGTGGAATGGAAGAGGGTATACTGAATGATGTTGGGGCTGTGGTTCCTACTCCAGCAACAACGCCCTGTGCAGTCTTCTCAAATATCACAGGGCGTGCCAGTTGTCCTTGAATGATACTGCTAATCTGTGGAGGTAGGTTGGAAGTGGTGATATGACCAGGGCTGCTCAGAGTGGGAAGAGCAGTACCAGTGGCCACAGGACTTTGAGGTCCAAGGTGATGAATGGTGCCTCCAGTCTGTGAGTGAGGCTGAGAGAGCCGACGCTCCCTCACAGAACCTGGTGCTCCTGGAGAGGCCAGCTGTACCTGGTTAGATGTGGCTGGAGCAATCTGGGCAAGTCCTGTACCCTCCTGGTAAACAAAGTGGCTACTTCCTGATGGACTACCTAAACTGATTTGTCGCACTAACATACCAGGTTCAACAAATCGTGTTGGACTCTGCCCACACAAACTCAATGCTGTTGCAGGTGCCCCTGGCCTTGTAACACCTTGCAGAGGGACTGGGCTGTGCTGTGTGGGACTTTGGGGCTGCATGGGCTGGGGCACGGGTGAGGTGACCTGTATGTAGGAAGATGGAGCATGCTCAAACCTCCACTGAGGTGTAGTATGCTGGAAGCCAGGGGATGCTGGGTTCTGGAGGGGGAGTGGGGTTAGGGTGATCTGCTGGTTACCAGTCATCATCTGTCCCACATTTTGCAATGTGATGTTCACGTTCTGGCCAGTGACCGGGCTTCGACTCATGATTATCTGATAATTGGGTGACTGTGGGGCTGAAGGGCTGGCAGCAGAGGAAAATGTGGTCACAGGAGATTGAGGGTGATTAGCTGTAGCTTGCTGCTGTGTAACCTCCAAGGCAGATTGCTGCTGCTCCTCTGCTTCAGACCCACTAACAGACTTGGATCTCTGGAGCTGTCGTTGCATGCTCTGTGATCCACTTCCATGGTGCATTGCGTGACACTGTTACTATGTCCACACAGAACAGTCTGCAGAAAAGGTACAGCAAAGCACAAGAATGAGTGAGTTTTAACAACTGAATGTGACAAAGTAGTGATTCATGCCAATATTGCATTTTCTTCTTTTGAGATGTTTACCTTATTGCATGATTTTGATTTGTCGGGTAAACAGTTTACTGGATTAACCTAAAATTGATTCCTGTATAGTTATTTTAATGAAAAAATGTCTTTCAGTTGACTTAATAGAAACTATCTGAAAATGAAAATGTTTAGTTTATCCACAACACAGAGTTCCAAATGCATTAAGAAGAAATAAAGCCTAATGTCGGGGGATAGCTGCTGAGCAGTATACTTGATAGCTGGCACACACACATATTAAAATGATATTATTTGGTACAGTGACGTGGTGTGTGTGTGTTGATGTAAAAAACGCAAGGACTTCAACCAGTTATAAAAGGTGTTGACAGTAATTTTTAAGACAATATAGCCGGTCATATTTGTACATAAATACAAGCGGACACGAGATAGAAGCGACAACGATAAATGATAGGGTTTATCTAGTTCACAGTTTCCAAAGCCAACCTGCATTTTAAACAAAGGTGATAAACCAATAATGGTAATTATTTTTACTGTTATTGTTCGGCTGTTACAGTACATTACACCGTTGATGAATTCTAGAGTTTTCTGTAGACTACACAATTTACACCACAAAATTATATATACAACAAACATAACCAACATAAATCAGTATTTTCTGTGCTTAACCTTAAATTTTCATTGTTTGTTACGACGTTAACCTTTCAGTATCGCTTCGGGGCGTAACGTCAGCTAACGCTAGCTAGCTAGTAGAATTGCGATAAGCAGCTGAACACTTGACTTGTTGAAATAATTAAGTATTGCCTAAGGTTTGGGTGATTAATATATTTGAATATGTTGCCTATATTAACCGATGACACCAGTAGTAACGCTGCGTGTGCTATTTCGGTATTTACAATACAAACTACAGGACGCGTGCTAGGCAATGCTAATGATATTAGCTTGTTATTCCTAGCAGGCCAACTGCCAGTGAATAAATACATTTTATCACATCAACAGTGTTACTTACAGACAACGGTGGTTCTGCAGTTGTTTTATGACTCTTAAGTCATTTTTACAACAAGTCAGTACTGTAACAAATGTTATAACGCCCCAAAAATAAAATATATATATTGCTAGCGGCTAACTAATGTTTTGAAGCTAATTTCATTCAGCAAACATGGCGACCACAGTAACCTTTTGAGTAACCCGGATGCCGTTCTGTTTTCATGATGGGGTAATATCGCGAAACCACGACGTGAGCAAAATTAAATTCATAATTCAATGCATGCCAATGAAACTTAGTAAGCACGCATGTTAACATGCTGTAATATTAGCCAAACTTTTATTTTAAATACAATAATAAATAAAAATACATTTAATGATTAGACCAAGAAATGCAACTGATTTAGCAAACTGAAATAGATTAAGAGAAGCAACAAATTTAACAATAAATATTATTTATTTCCACTACACAGTGTGTAACAATTAGTTGTGGCAAAGTTTACCAGTAGTCTTAAAATAAAAGTAGAAAAGGAAATTTGATAAAATGTAACATTTTCACAAAAAAACATACAGCATGTAATTGTGATAAACTAGTGTGCTCTCAGACAAAATTCTTGCACAAATTAATTCAGGAACAAACACAATTGTTTTACATTAATACAAACTGATGCCAAAACAACCACAACTGTAAACTGAAAAACTAATGTGCACACATACAGCAGCTAAGCATAAGCAACATAGTATGCAGTAAACATAACTTAGTGCCTCATCACAGAGTACATTGCCAACTAAGAACAGGCATCACTGAATCAAATTAAAATCTCATTTAAATCACAATACAATATTGCAGTCTGTGATGTAGATCTATATTACTGTAAGACAATTCTGTATGAGGTCAAACATCATTACATTTACATATTCTGCTACGATTTAAAAATGTACAAAACATTTATATAGTAGTACTGTACTATATATATATACTACTACTATACATTGGCAATATTTGGTCATATCATCCAAAAATTTGACTCCTGTTGGCTGGTGATTTACTGTGCACACAACACAAATACTTCAAATATAGAAAACAACGATATTAAATAATCCTTGTTTCAAGTAGAACACATTTAAAATCAGCTAATAATTCATCTTATTATTCTATGTGCAAAACACAAAATAACATACTGACACACACAATCTATAAGAACACAAAACAAATACTAAGAACAGTTTACCTGATCAAAATATTTTTCCAATCATAGCACAATCTGTATTCAAGAATGTTTCCAAAAAAAGGACTTGCAGTATTTTCTGTGCATTTATGTAACTGTTATAACAGACTGGCTGGTGGGATAAGAGCAGATGCTCCAGTGGTCATTTCCCTTAAGAAAGATCAAAGTGCCTGTGTGTAATAATTTAGGAGGATCCATCTACATTGAGAGTAGATGACTGAGACAATATAATACAATTGCTGTGGGTATAACTGTAGAAATAATGGATACCATTAAGTCTGCAGAGCAGAAAGGCGTCGTTCAATACACTGCTTACCTGAGAACAATAGAGATTGAAAACTCAGATTAAGATTAAAATCCAGTCGAGACCAACAAAGATCCCATGACAAATCTATTTATATGCGGTCAGATCATAACATTTTGAGCTACTATCATGTGGTTTACATGTCACAGTACTGCTACTTACATTTAGCAATGTTGTCAATGTCTTTTTGTTCTGTGATGATTCGGGACAGACCTTCCATCAGCAACAGGGCTTTATAATAACGCTGGACTGATGGTGTGCCATAGTGGAACATCTCATCTAAAGCAGCAGACTGCACCTGAGAACACACACATTAAGGTTAAGATAAAAATGCAAACAGGACATACAGACAGATAACAAATTAGAGGAAAACCCAATATACAGTGTCTCAGTAAGGTGGTGGGCCGCCACCACCACACCTTCAGTGCATCTTGGCATTGACTCTACAAGTCTCTGAACACTACAGGAGGGATGAATACCATCCATCCATTATCTATACCACTTATCCAGGTGACACTGGGTGGGAGGCGGGGCACACCCTGGACAGATCGCTAGTCTATCACAAGGCGGACTTTTAAGAGACAGACAACCACATACACCCACACTCACTCCTACAGGCAATTTAGAGTCACCATTCAACCTAAGCTGCATGTCTTTGGACTGCGATACGAAGCCGGAGTACCCAGAGAGACCCCAAATAGACACAGAGAGAACATGCAAACCGAGAACAGCTTAGCTGTGAGGGGACAGAGCTAACCATTGCTCCAACATGCTGCCCTGAACACTATTCTTCCAAAATATATTCCCCCATGTAGTGTTTTGACAATGGTGGTGGAGATGCTGCCTAACACATCACTCCAACATCTCCCATAGGTGTTCAGCTGGGTTGAGATCTAGTGACTGTAAAGGCCACAACGTATGATTTACATAATTTTCATCCTCATCAAACCATTCAGTGACTCCTCGTATCCTGTGAATGGGGGCACTGTCATCCTGGAAGAGATCACTCATTTATTAAGGGTTTTCCTTGAAATTGTCACCTTTGTGTATACTGGAGAGAATCAGATTTTGAGTGAATATCAACATCTCCTGCTGTGTGGTGAGCTCACCATCTGTACCGTGTGGCTGTAGATAAGCTTCTCTGCTGTGAGTCCATTGAAGTGATCCATAAGCTTCTGTTTGTCAAGCAGGAAGGTCTGTAGCTGATCACTGAGGGAGCGACAGTATGTTACGCAGTTCTTGTACAAGTCATTCAGTTTCTTGATCACTACACAAAGGAAATACATAATGCAAACACATTTTACTATAATGAATACAAAATTACCCTTGTCATCAAGTTTGAGCATAGAATGCAATTGTCTCTGTTAAATACCAGGATGGGTCTAACTGTTCTCAGTAATGTTAAACTTTCACTTTTTTAGAGTACAACATCCAAAAGCTCTTCTTCTTCCTGAAGGACTACAAATTACACACATTTAACAGACACCTACAAGCACTCTACAAATGGTGAGTGCTTAACACTCAGAACCAGAGGTGCTTTGTCTCACCTTGTTTCACTGTCGCAGAGGGAAGGAGTTGGCCTTGCTTGATATTCTCTTTAGCAGTGTGAAGTGCTGATGACAGAAACTCTTCAGCCTTCATATACAAAATTAACTGCTCTGCCAAGCTGGAGCGTGCACATAAAAAACAGAGATCATTTCCAAGAAGGTTTGTGAAGTACTTGTTGCATGTACATTTTAAAACATGCACATGTTGAGAAAATAAAAAAAGCTTCATGCATTTCACCTCCATTCTCTCCTCAGAACACTGATCTGATCTTTCACCACGCTCTGCTCGAGAAAGGAAACATCAGCACTGCTGATGGTATCCAGAACTGGATCCTTAGAAGAGGCCAATTCCATGACACAGCTGACAAAAGCCAAGGTGAAGCGCAGGTCATTCAGAGCATCCGTGTGAGCCTGCTGCAAGAACAGATCAAATACTGTGAATACTGAAACTGTTCATATGGAATCCGATTTTTTTGTTGTTTCACTGTCCCATGAGAGTATTTATCTATACCTCCATCAGTGTATCTTCAGAGAGCTCTGGAGGGTGAAAGATCAGAATGTTGTGAGGAGCAGCATCCATGACGTCAGTCTCACTGTTTCTACGGCTACCTATCTGAAGAACGTGACTGTTAGGTAGCCAAGCTGAGTTAATGGAGCTGGGGGAGCCTACATTAAGACAAAGACAAATGCAGCTTAACCATGACCATGAGTAATAAAAAGAGAATGGGAGTAACTGTTAACATGTTTTAGGTTTACAATAAACACGATAACTCTTATGTGTTACATTTATTTTTTATTTCACCTTACCTAATTTGCATAATTAGTCCAAATATAAACTAAACCAGAGAAAACACTGCATTTAAAAATATACCCCAAGACTACAAACCTGCTACAATACAAGCTAAAATAATTGTTAATAAAAATGAACACCCTCAACAGTAAGTCAATATTCATGGTAGTCTGAAGACCAACCTGAGAACTTCCTTGATAGCATGTTATCAGGAGGAGTGTTTCCTTTGGTTGGAGAACCCATTATGAAGAATGCAGGATGTGGACTGTAAGAGCACTGAGAGCCTCTACGACAACCAGTAGGTGGAGCTGTATAGACAAAAAACAAAAGCCTGAGTCAAATGGCTCAGATGCCCCTGGAAAATATAGCGCAGATGAAATTCAGCCCAGTAAATGGTCAGGGTCATAAAAGTAGTTACCTCATAACAGGAACTAATGAATGTTGTAAACACAGAGATACCCCACTTTGCCTCCATAACATGTGTGTTCATTTCTCAGTATCTATTGATTTCATTACTGCATAAATCTTACCATTTGCATGACTTGCATGTTGGTAACTTAATAAACTGGCCCCTACCTGTTGAAACTATATTTACCTATGTACCCATCTTTTCTAATTTGTCACAGCAACAACAACAACAACAGGAAGATAAATACTGGCAAACAAAGACAAAGAGCATCAGTAGAAAGCATTTGACTAGTCCTGTTTGTAACACTTAACACTGGTACCTGTTATATCCATGCTTTTCTCACAGTCAATGCTCTCGTCACATCCCTCTTCCAAAATGTGAGCTCCAAAAGCCGCCTTCAGTATCATGTCAGACAGCCTGCCTGTGCTCAGCGATCTGGACATTCAATATAGCCAGAGACACCATTGCAAGCATTTAAAAATTTATCAGATGGCATATCTCTATTACTGTGTGACATCTCTAGGTTTTCATGGTAGCCTCAGCTAGATGTGGCTTACTGACATTTCTTTCAATTTCCTCATTATTTTGCAGGATGATATATTATCATATAGCAACAATTATTATAATCATAATAATATTATACTATTCAGACCTTTTAAATGGTCCCTTTGTATTGGATGCTTTCTTGCTGAGGGTAGTGTGGGAAGTAGGAGATCGGTCCAGGCACTGCAGGTCCGGTACTGTCTTCATTCTTGGCATACTGGATTGGACGGGCTGTTGTAGATAAAATGAAACTTCTAAAACCTAATCCAAACACTAGCTTGTATACTATACATTTAAGCAATGTTTGATTTCAAAGCAATTTGATTCTACTGTGTGAGCTGCTTGTAGATATTCTATTATAAATCTTTGCCCTTACGGGAAGTGTAAAAAATAAGTTCCTAGTCACTTTTGGTATTTTAAAGAGAGGTGAAACAAAACTGCTTTGGCTAAGGAAATGTGTGCATTGTGAAATACAAATATAACTTACTGACTAGCAGGATGGTGTGTAGATGACAACATGTTTACTTTTGTTAGATAAATGTTTTAGAAGCTGACCTTGGGGCTGGAGGTGTCCTGCATGTCAGGGGAGCCACTGGAAAGCCCAGTTCTTGTGCTGAGGGGGAAAGTCTGCTCTGAGGCCTTTGGGGTAGTTCCCACTAGAATACAGAGGACAGAGCAAACCCAGTGAAATAGTCCTGTTTGTAACGTCATCAGGGTTTTTATGAAACACATTTGCTCTTAATAACAATATCACTAAAACTGAATGAGACAAGCTCCGGCATGTTCTCTGGGTGTTATCAAAAGGCCTAAATACAAGAAGACGAGTCAGAAAAAAAGGAAAGGGGGTACAGAGATGATTTAAATACATTTCACCACAAAACAACTGCAGAAATAGACTGAATATGACAGAACATTTCAGATGGTGGAAGTTTTGTTAACACCCAACAACAAGTGCTGTGACAAATTCCTATGTAGTGTGTTAAAATGTACAAGTATGGCCAAGAGAGTTGCTGTACAAGAGCACTGCTTAACAAACAATTCCCTGGATAGATAGAACAAAAGCTCATGGAGATGCCAACCTAGCGGAGAGGACTGTTGTGGTTGGGCTCCTCCAGCTGCCAGCCTTGGGGAGATGAAGACCAATCCTGGAGCTGGAGCTCTACACTGTTGGGAGGTTTCACAGCTGTTGCCAGCACAGCATAGTATGACCCGAAATGACATACAGTAAAGCACAGTTAGACAAAGGCAAAAAAAAATGAGAAAAGCAAGACTGGGGGAGGGGGGGATATGACAGCCGAGCAGGCTGAGCAGCAGCTGTACATGCCTGGTGGAGCCATGCAAGCCAAAAGGTTGCAGGTTCTGTTCCAGACGGTGGTAGTTTTGGATCTGAGATGGGACAGGAATGGGCACCGAGTGGCTGCGGTTATGGTCAGTGAATTCAACAGGTTTGCTGCATGAATGAAACGGGAAGCCAAGGAATTACACACAGAGGAACGGACAGTTAGCAGTGTTACTGATGATTTTAGAAATCGGTGGAAAACAGTAAAGGAACTGAATTAAAGTAAAAACTCTAAAACCACCATTTCATGAACCACATGAAATGGAATTATCGTGCATATTGGTGGATTTATACACACACTCAAAGTAGTAATCCACCTTTGAATTAACCCACCCCAATCTAAACCTGCCAGGCTCTCCCTTACCTAACAGGCCTGGAGGGAGGGCATAGGAGGGGAGAGGGTGGAGGTGTTTTTCCTATAGGCCCGGGACCTGTTAGCGAGCTCCTGGAGAGAGCACAAAAAAAAGATATTTCTTAGCTCTAGTAAATCAAAGTGATATACAGTACCAGGCATAATTTCATATTAGTTCATATACAAAAACCACATTGTTTTGCAGCATGCATTATTGCCTTGTGAAACTCACAAGATATCATGCATCCCCCTAAAATGAATTCTGAATCTCTGAAAATACTTTATTTTATATTTAATACTGAGGCTTACATGACAAGTCCATTCTACTATTTGTGGGTAACTCACCCACTGTAGATCAGGCAGCTTTCAATTGGTGACCCAACATCCACTTCACAAGTGTATTCACCTGAAAAGCAGCAAAACAGAACAGCAAAATGAATACAAGTGTAACAGGCTTTTGTGGAGAAAACATGCACAATAAAAACTCCAGATAAGTGCAGGCTTACAGCTCTTACTGGGAAACTGTGCAGGCACAATGACATAGTCCTCTGTGTAAGATGAGGGGTTACTTCTGTCTTGACTGGCCATTTCTTTCAGTAGGAAGCTATGGGTGTCCTGGATAGGGGAGTACTGCATTTTAGGCTGGAGTCGGGGCATCTCTCCATCAGAAGGCTAAGATAAAGATGAAGGACTTCTTTGAAATTTAACTAATACGAGTATTGCATCTTTTATCAGGGATCTCTGTTTTATAAATACATATCTCTTTTTCCATACTTGAGTGAAAGTCAGATGGGACTTGGAGGAGCTGCTAGAGGAACTGCCTGAACCTGAACAAGGGTAGGAGATGACAGGCACCGGAGGGCCTGTCAAATATAACAAACAAACAAACAAAAAAAATAAATGTGGTTGTGTTAGAATCTATGCAACAGCACCTTTATTATACTAAGCCGTACTGTCGTAAACAAGCAACAGCACATACATGTCTTTGTGGATGAACTCTGTGGACAACTCATCTCCAAGAAAGGATGATGAAAAAACTCATCTGCAAATGTCAAGATTTAGATGTCAGAAAAACATAAAAATCATTCATAAATTATGAAAATGGGCTGTGAATGAATGTTAGAAGGCAGGGGCTCACCAAAGCTCATCCGTTCTTTGTGGTTTCTCTGCAGCAGCCCCAACAGTAAATGTCTTAGGCAACTAGAAGTCTCCTTTGGGATGCTGGAAAAATACAAAGATTTCCTGTTTAGATGAACTCTAAACTCAGAGGTGGGCCACACTCTGCCTGCAGCTTTATACACTGTGCCTCATGTTTAGCTTGCATGCTGGTAGAAAACACGCTAATATTTTGAACTTTCCAATGTGGTGTTCACATTTTGTTGCCTATATATGTGGTGTTAAAGAAATAATATTCAAGTAAGTTCTGTTGCGTAACCACAGAGTGAGCTGTAAAGCATGTGAATTTTTAAGCTGATTTATGGCTTCAGAGCAAACCCTCAGGGCAGCATGTTGCTTTTAGCCAGTACAGACTGTGAGTGCTTTTGTGTTTATGTTGGTGTTAAGCTATGTGGGTCATGGTGAAATGACAGCTGTGCAGGCCACTAACTGGCAGCTTGGGGCAGGTTATATATAGCATGGCAAGAAAACAACAAACCATGCCTCCTCATGCACAAACACAGCCTGTTTTATGACCCGGCTTTACAACTGCAAAAGATAAGTATGGCCAAAAGCCAAGTACAAGCGCGCAAGAAATATCACTTAAAAAGCTTTCTTGATTCAGTGTTCAGAATGATTTTAAACAGGCAAGAGAACTGATTGTGAATGCATTTTCATTTACTTATATCAAGGCAGATACACAGAGTTCACAACATACATCATATAGAGGAATATATAACATAAAGATCCTATATTATACATTTGTTAGGTTTTCATATACTGTGTGAGAAGGGTCAATGGAGAAATTTCAAGATGATCAGTCCCGTCAGGTGTCTGTATCAGTTTCTTCCACATTACGACTATTTTTAGTGCCGGTATGTAACTTGCGGATTTATTGAGTGCTAATTATAGTGTATAAGTGCGTGTGTTTTCATGTGTTCTGAAAATCAGCCATTGCACAATGAACATGTTTCACATACAAGCTTGTGGTCAACCACATATTCATGTCAGTCATTTATCAGTCAAGTGAACAGAGATGACAGATCTCCCTGTAAAGCCTGTTTACACCCCATTCTATCATCCTTCTGTGCATATTGTGTGTACAAAATGTGTGTGTGCTGGTATGAGGTCATCCAGAGGTGCACTAACCTGGGTAGCAGGGTCCTGTTTGTTTCATAAAACAGACGGAGCTCCTGCGGTGTGCTGGCCTATACACACAGAGATCAAGCACGAGTTACACTTGTCAATGACAAGTAACACATGCACCCTTACAAACAAGTATTTCAATAAATTATAGTGGAAAGTTTGACTGTTTATTTGCCTAAATCTTTACAGATATAAACTAGTTGTGCCAAATTGCATATAATCTAAATCATGAACAATATGTAGGTGTTTGATGAACCCACTCAGGACAAAGTGGAATGTTTGGAGATGCCAGCTAAACCTGCGAAATAAATATCAATATCATCATCATCATCTAACCTCACATGGACCCTTGGACTTATCTCAACTCACTGGCTTGCCTGGCAGACACAGAAGTCAATCTGCCCTCATTCTTGCAAGATAAATAACGTCAACAGGTACAAAGGGTCAAACAATAGAAACTTTCTTCTTCTTTATCTGATATGCATGGGGATAAAAGGCATTTCAGAGAGCATGTGTTTATACATAAGTCATGGTTGAAGTAATCTGTAGATGATAGTTCAACAGTTTCAAATGAGCAGCCACGTGAACACTAGAAAGTCATACCCATCGTTATGAAACAATATTTATTCTGGGTTCAGGGAAACAGCTTTGAGCCATTTCCACATGGTCCCCATCTGTAAACAATAAGGGTCTTTCCAATACGTAGTGAATTTCTTCCAGCATTTACTAACTAACAACACTGGAGATCAGGGAGAGTGTCCCCCAGCAGGCAGAGGTTAGTTATTAATGGCTGTTGATCATGTTGTTTCTGTGTTATGAAGTGGATGCATCATGTTTACTTTGAGTCTGCCCTTTCTAGGTACAAAGCAAAATGTTTTCATGAGGATTTGTAATTATATAAGAGACCTTGGCATGCATTTGTTTGGGAACTGTTAAAACCATTTAGCGAAACGCCTAAACAGAGTGATATTACTGTTACAGTTTTTGTATCTACATGTTTGTGTGCTTTGAAGTGCCACTCACGTGAAATGGTGCCTTTCCAGTCAGACACTGGTACGCAATAGTGCCTATGCTCCACAGATCAGCCTTGGCATCATAGTTCTGGGACATGATGACCTCAGGAGCCTATGTCCGGACAAACACAGCTTAGAGCTAAAAGAAACAGTAACATTACATTTTGTTAGCACAGGAAACCAGAGTAACAGACTTTAATACTCACCATGTACATGGGAGAACCACACAGCGTAGCCGCCATAGTGTTTGCTTGGAGATGACGTGCAAACCCAAAGTCAGCTGGAGGGTGAGAGAAATGAGGTCACGGAGAAGCAGTAGCATTTGTGTTAATAGTTGGGTTGATTGGCTGCTTGACATATCATAAACCTCCCATTCTAACAATGCAATAAAACAATGACAAATAAACACATTCCACCATCTTCTTTAAAACAATGCATTTTCAAAAACATACTGTACATTCAGTTCTTCTAAAACTCTGCTGTGCAAAATCATTACCTATCTTAATGCAGGTATTGATGGAACTGGACCTGCATCCCTCTGGGTGGCAGAGCAAGATGTTCTGGGGCTTGAGGTCTCTGTGGAGAATGTCTTTTCCTCGAAGGACCTTCATGGCCTGAGCAATCTGCTGGAGGAATACACGGATGGTGTCCTCACTTAACGTCCCCTTAGCTGTGGGTCAGAGGGATGGAATACATTAGATGATACATGAGGGTCTCAGCATAGTAGCATATACAGTATAAAGATTTATCATTTTGCATGGTATGAAGACACATTTGAAGCAAGGTGGGAAAAATCCACAGCATTCATTTCCTTCAAGTTGTCCTTGCTCAAGTAGGCTTTCTGTTATTACAGTGATATCCATTATGTTTTAACAATTCATTTATTGGTTTATTGGTAGAATCTAAAAAATAATGACATGTACCCATCACAAGCTGCCAAAGCCCAAAGTAAAAAAGTGAAAATATTACATTAAGAAATGAATGTTTATTTGCTAACATCTTAACAGATAAAAGTGATCAATTAGCTAGGTGTTTTAAGTGATAAAGAGAGTAAAGCCAAACTTGTATAACCAGTTAAAAGGTTACTGTAGTAATCAACATGCACATTTCCAGTTTATGTCTGCTGCACATCAAAATAAAAGTGATCAACCTATAAGTTGATAAGCTGAACGTTAACTGGTGCCATTTTACTGGCTTAAGCATCTCAAATGTAAATATTTTTGGACTTTTTTTAGTCTTCTAAATTACTTTTTTTTTTAAACTGGTGGTCAGACAAATGTATGTCAACTTGGGCTTTGGAAAATTGTAATGGGATTTTATTTTTTTATTTTTTTTACTATTTTCAGGCATTTTATGAACCAAATTACTAATTATTAATTGGGAAAACAATCAAGATATTAATACTAATAAAATATTTGTTTGTTTAACTGTTGCACTTACTTAGAAACTGGTTTCTTTTGAATGTTCTCAAACTGTCACCATAAAATCCAATATGATGTAATGTTGTGCAACTCTAATCACATCAGTGTTGTTGCTGTCATACTTCGTGGAAGAGAATTTTGTTTACGATGACACTTAATTTGGAAATTAATGTCAAGGACACCTGACATGCTACTGCCCCTGTCCTTCCTTGTACATCAGGCATTTCCATCTGCAGTTATTTTCCCCTACAGGACAAGGATAAATGAGTGGCAGATGGGTGAGGTCATGTTGGTTTCTATGCGAACCTTGCCAAGTGTGACTGAAGTGCGCTGCAAATAGCTGGATGTATCTCCTTGACAGGGACACAGAATGGGCCAGTCTACAAAATAATAGACGTTGGCACCACGGAGAATTAGACCACTGCTCCATATCAGCTTTTAAATATATTCATTGATACCAACGAGGTAAACTTAGCCTGAGACCAAAATGAACTCCATGACTTCAACTGCAGCAACATATTTGAAACAGGGCTTACAACTTTAAAATAGGATAATTTTCATTGTGATTGTCCAGGGAGAAGAGTTTAATTTTAAAATGGCAAGAAAAGATACATGGAAAGTCACCAACATGAAAAAATAAAAGCTGGGGAATTATTACTTTCCACCCTGTTTGTACTGGTTTCTATGTAATTTGTAGGAAAAGGTGGGAAAAAAACATCAGCCAGATCTAGTGGGTTTAGCTTTATCTGGGTTAAGTACTTGGGAGTATTGGTGATAACTGACTCAGTAACCTGTGAGAATGTTACATTTGAATTATATTGATGTACTGCTCTGCAAAAATCCTATTATTCCCCTTTATGCATTAACCACAGGTGAAAAGGAAAACTTTACAGTACTGGGACATGATGTATATTAAGCCTGATGTGATGTGGCAGACTTACAGTGAAGGTACTCTGCCAGGTCGCCTCCATTGCAGTACTGTAAACACAAGAATAACAAGTCAGAAGCTTTGACAGTGCTGCCTCATTAGTGAATGTCATTTGCATTTATACTTGAAAACAGCCTAGTCCTTATAATTTGTGACATAACTCACCTCCATGACAAGATAGATACACCCTCCTATTTCCTATTGATAAAACCAAACAAATTTCAAATTACTGAAGAACAGTAACTGACAAACACTAATGCCAAACTGATGTGATGAATGGTAATACAGTAAACATACGACACCTAAAGAGATTGGGAATCATGAATTATACTGACATTAAATCAATGTTACACAACAAGTGACACCAGCTAATTTCTTAGACTGACTTGACTCTCATTTGGCCAGTCACCAGTGGTGCTTTTAGAAATGACTGACCACCTGACAACAGCTAACTCGGTGACCTGAAACAGTACCCCAACATGGCTTCTGTCCAGATTTGGCCCCCCTGAATCATACAGAGCCCCTCCCTACTTTGTGCACCACCATTTAAAAAGTCACCAATCAGTGAAGGTGGATAAGGCCTGGGGAAAGGGTAAGAAGTTTAGGGTGTCAGCCCCACCGGATTTGAATGGAAAGTAAGGAGCAGGAGAGCAAGTTGAATCAAGTTGTTTGTCCTTTATATCACCAGGTTAAAGCCAATAAGCTATGTGTACCTCTTTATGGTTATTACTTTGTGATAAATATCATTATAACAGATTTCAAAGAGTGCACATTGTTCAGATGCACATGAATGTCTATAAATGGATCTTGCAGCCTGACCTGGAGGCTCAGGGTATAACCTAAAGTCACTAGCTTTGCATTCTGGTGTGCATCTGCTGTTTGGCAACACAGTACACTGTGTTATAAAAGGCATTGTTTAACCGGCTACACCCTGCCATCTGTCATAAACAGTGAGAGATAATTTCACCCTGCACTGGCTGTCTGGCAGGTGTCAGTAAGGTGAGAAGAGAAAAACACACACTCATGCAAACTCACACCCAAGCAAATGGTTCATGTTCTGAACTATATGTAACTTGTTTTAAAGTTTGTATGTTTATTATAACACTGAGCATAAATGCAATAACTTAACAGAAACATCAACATGAGTGAGTATATTACACCAGATGCTAAAAAAATAACTGCTAAATAATTCATTCAAATGACTTCTAAAGAAACTTCCCATTAAACATGAACTACACCTCCAATACACAGGCTGTATGGCCCCGCTAACAATAAAAAACTACAGCAACCAACATGCACCGCGTGAGCAAATAACAACAATTGTTTCGGTAACATTACAGCATTTGCAACAAGTGGGTGTGGATTGTTGCTGTTTGTGAACTGCTGTGTAATTGACAGGCCTGTGTTGGTGTTGGTGTTGGTGTGTGTGAGAGGAGAGGAGTTAAAACAGAAAGATGTCGTCTTCAGCTTACCTGATAGTCGAGTAGCCTAACAATATTCTCATGTTGGAGTTCCTAGAGGAGGTCGGAAAGCATTTTAGTTAAAAGCTACACAAGCAATAATAAGAAATGCACGGTAACGTTAAAAGGTGACATTACCTTTAATATTTTGATTTCTTTACTAAGCAGAGACTGTGATTTGGCCAAGTTTTTCTTGCTGATACACTTCACAGCTACTTCCCAGTCACGTTTCTGGAAGCGTAAGAATAAAACGCAAAAAGCAGGATCCAAATTAACCAGCCTCACATTTTTCAACCAGACAAAATTCAAATTTGCCTCAGACATAAAATTTACCTCTTTGTGTCTGCCTTTGAACACAACTGCAAAGGCACCGTGCCCAATCAAGTGTTTCCTGTTGAACTCAAACTTCCCAACAGACTCCATGGGTAATATAAATAAATAAAGGTATCCGAGTGGGTTTAGGTCGATTAAAGTGCGACTGAAGCACAGTCAGCTTCGTGACACTTCCCTTGAGCCGGTATATCCAGTTTCATTGATGAAAAATACTGCCTTCAAACGTGATAAGCTTTATCATCGAAGAAAATATGACAACATGACGAAGTTTCTTTCATCACAAAACAACGTGCGTAAGAATGGGGAAAAGCGTATGTAAACTAAATATTAGCGACCCACTGTGCTTATTTAACTATCCAAATGAATTCCTGTCGCTTTTCTAGAACTGATAGAATTAGAAAATTACGTTACTGTTGTTCAACGCTGTTGTACCCTATTTAGAAGCTGAACTCAGGTATTACTCCACCTCACCTCTGTGTTATTCATATCGAACGTCGAGCATGCGCACACGGAGAGGCAGCTGTTTGGTGATGGCGCCTTTAGGGACATCTCGTAAACTTGTAATGTAGCATCTTAATTTGGCTAAGAAGAAAGTTCTACATACTGTAGGTTTATTTAAACATTTTTGAAGCAAAATGCATTTTGTACTCTATTTACGATCAGTAAACACTTTATTAGGTGAGAATCATATATGCACAAACATTAAAATAGGCTTTTAATTTATTACTATACACAATTACAGGCTATAGTGACCAGGGGCACCATACTCAAGAGCCTAGGTGACTGCTCCTGACTTTTCATTGGGCTCAGTAAAAACCTTTAAAAACAAAACAAACAAACAAAATCCAAGATGTCACAACAAAGAGGCCATTACCACACATTTGTTGCTGTTTGTCCTCACAGGTTATCTGTAGGCTGTCTACACTTAGTGCTGTGTACTGAAAGAATGCATTTTAAGCCTTTACAGTGAGCTTGGCATGCTCATTTTGCTCATTTCCACCCATTTAATGTTTAATCTTGGGTACCTCTAGATTAATTTGGGAGCCCTCATAACTCCAAATGGTTTGTAATTGTTTCAGAATCAGAGAGCCAAAAAGTCTCTTCCTTAAAACAACGTGCACAACTCCTCCTGCCAGTTTTTTGTCACAAGCAGACAGCACAACGAAACTTGAAGGCATAATTAATATAAATTTCTCCTCCATAGACAGGTAAACAGAGGTATAGCACTGTATCAGCAGTAAAGTCCTACAAGTTCCTGGGCTCCACTATCTCCCAGGACCTGAAGTGGACGTCCAACATCAGCACCATCACCAGGAAGGCACAGCAGAGGATGTACTTCCTGCACCAGCTCAGGAAGTTCGACCTGCCCCAGGAGCTGCTGATACAGTTCTACAGAGGAATCATTGAGTCTGTTCTCTGCACCTCCATCACTGTCTGGTTTGACTCAGCAACCAAACAGGACAAGTACAAACTTCAGTGGACAGTCAGGACTGCAGAAAAGGTCATTGGTGCGAGCCTGCCCTCCATGGAGGACCTGTACACCACACAGGTCAAAAGGAGGGTGGAGAGGATCACTGTAGACCCCTCACATCCTGGACACAAACTGTTTGAACTCCTCCCCTCTGGAC